CAGGCCCTATAATCTCCGTTTTTAACAAAGGGAAAGTGGGCCTTGGGCAGATTACAGCAGCTAGTTAGAACTGAATTACATCATTTAGTCTCACTCTGTTTATTTGTATAGTTTCCTTTTATGTCAAGTTACATTGGCTTCCCATTGATGGAAGGAATGTAGAATATATTTTAAAATAAGTTATATAAATTTTAAGTGAGTCAACTTAAAGACAAATGTTGAGTAAGTAATAGTACAGGTGGTACAGGAATATGGAGTGTAAAATACCACCACATTTTGAAAACTTAGTATGAATAAAAGAATGTAAAGTATCTCATTAATAGTTCTATTGGTTACATGTTGAAATGGAGATATATTGGCTATATTGGGTTAAAAAATTATATTATTAAAATGAATTTCACCTGGATGAAATGTCATAGAACCACACATGCACACAACACGAGCAGATGCAAAATCTGGCAAAATCTTAGTAAGGTCTATAATCCAGCTAGTTGTATCATGTCAATGTTAATCCTCTGGTTTTGACAGCACACTCTAGTTATATAAAATGTTACCAGTGGGGAAAGCTGGGTGATGGGTACATAGGACCTCTCTATTATTTTTGCAACTTCTTGTGAGTTTATGATTACAGATACTCTTTAACCTACAATGGAGTTAGTCCAGATAAAACTATTGCAAATCAAAAACACCATAAGTCAAAAATGCAGTTGATACCCCAATAAACTCATCATAAAGTCAAAAATTCGTAAGTTGAACCATCGTAAATAGGGGACCATCTATATTTCAAAATAAAAACTTTTAAAATATGAATTGCGTCTGTTTCTTTTTACTTCCTAAAACATAACTACTAAAACATTTAAAATTATAAAAGTTCTACAATAATCAAGATAGTGTGGTGTTGGGAGAAGGACAAACACATAGATTAATGGAACAGAATAAAGAACCCAAGAATAGACACACAAATATGCTCAACTGATTTTTGACAAAGGTGCGAAAGCAATTCAGCGGAGGAAAGACATCAACAAATGATGCTAGAGCAATTGGACACCCGTGAGTAAAAACTGAACTCAAAATATTCTACATTGAATGTAAAATACAAAAATTTTAGGGAAAAACGTAGGAGAAGATCTTCAGGCTCTAGAGCTAGGCAAAAAGTTCTTAGACTTAACACCAAAAGCACAATCCATAAAAGAAAAAATTGCTAAATTGAACATCATCAGAAATTTAAAGATTTGTTTTGCAAAAGACCCTGTTAAAAAAATGACAAGCTACGGACTGGGAGAAAATATTTGCAAACCACATGTTCACCAAAAGACTATCATCTAGTGTGTATGAAGAACTCTCAAGCGCGACAGTAAAAAATCAAGCAATCCAATTAGAAAACAGAAAAAAGCCACGAGCAGACCTTTCACCAGAGAAGACAGACAATGGCAAATAAGTGCACGCAAAGACGTTCAACCTCCTTAGCCATTTGAGAAATGCAAATTAAAACCAGAATGAAATATCATTTACATACTATCAGAGTGGCTAAAATGTAAACAAGTGACGACATCAAACTCTGGTGAAGATGCAAGGGGAGATCATTCATATGTCACTGGTGGTAACATGCAGTGATACAGCCACTGCAACAGTTTGGCAGGTTCTTATAAAACCAAACATGCAACTACCATATTGCAACTACCCAGAAATTGCATTCTTGCATATGTATCCCAGAGAAATGACAACTTATGCTCACCCCAAATCCTGTACATGAATGTTCTTTGCAGCTTTATTTGTAATAGCCAAAAAAATAGGAGGAATCTAGTTATAGCCATCAACAGATGTATAGTTAAAGTGTAGTACATCCATATCACAGAAAACTACTTGGCCATAAAAAGGAATCAACTCCTAATACAAGCAACAAGTTGGATGAATCTCTGGAGATTTATGCTGAGTGAAAAAAAGTCAATCCCAGTAAGTTATACACTGTATGATTCTATTTATACAACATCCTTGAAATGACAAAATTATAGAAACGGAAAACATATCATTAGTGGTTTCCAGGAGTTAGGGACAGGGTTTGGGGTGGAAGAAGGTGGATGTGGCTACAAAAGGACAATATATGATGGAGTCCTTCTAGTATTAGAAATGTTCTGTGTGTTGACTCTGGTTGTGGACACAAATCTCCACATGTGAAAAGATTGTAGATAATGAAACACACACACACACACACACACACACACACACACACACA